ATTATATATATATATATGGTGCAGCGTTGGCCCCCCCCCCCCCCCCCCCCCCCCAATGGGTATGGGTGGACAGTATCGTCTGGTTTTTCTGGCCCCCCCCCCCCTGTGGCCTGTGGTGGTGGTATGGTTCTTCTGGTCCCCCCCCCCCCTGTGGCCTGTGGTGGTGGTATGGTTCTTCTGGTCCCCCCCCCCTGTGGCCTGTGGGGGGGGTATGTTGGTATGTTGGTATGTTGGTATGTTGGTATGTTGGTATGTTGGTATGTTGGTATGTTGGTATGTTGGTATGTTGGTATGTTGGTATGTTGGTATGTTGGTATGTATGTATGTTGGTATGTATGTATGTATGGATGGATGGATGGATGGATGGATGTATGTATGTATGTATGTATGTATGTAATGTATGTATGTCTGTCTGTCTGTCTGTCTGTCTGTCTCTGTCTGTCTGTCTGTCTGTCTGTCTCTGTCTGTCTGTCTGTCTGTCTGTGTGTATGTAGGTATGTAGGTATGTATGTATGTATGTATGTATGTATGTATGGAATGTAAGGTAAGGTAAGGTAAGGTAAGGTAAGGTAATGTAATGGTATGTATGTATGTATGTACGTAGGTAGGTAGGTAGGTATGTAGGTATGTATGTATGTATATACACCACCACAGGGGCATCATACCCCCCCCCATCCCATGGGGGGGGGGGTGGGAACACGGGACACGGGACCATATATAAATATTGGTCCTTCTGAGTTATGTGCATAGCAATGAATAATTAGTAGGTATGCAGTGTTGAAGTATGCGTTGATGTTTTGCAGGTCAATTTACTGGGAATATCCCAGTCAACCCAAATATGCCCCATATCATGCGAGGTAACCACGTATGGAACTGAACAATTACAGTATTCGAAACAGGAACTAGCAAAAACATATCAGCTATATTCTATAGTTGCTTGCATTCCCATTCCTTGCTGGTCAAATTCGAATCAACTGTTGGTTGTGTTGCTTCAACCAAAATATGGACATGGGTTCAATTGTTGTATCTTCTAAAAAATGAAATGAGCAGTGTTCAAATTCCTCCGTCGTTCCATTTCATCATGGTTAAGATCGGATTTCGATGTCCAATATTTTCTTTGGAAAATCCCATAAATATGTTCCCTATGAAATAGCAATTTTCCATCATTTTCCCAGTTTTTCTGTCATTCCCCTGCCGTCCCAGTCGAAAACGTCACGGGTGAGGCACGCCATCGGTGTCCAGCACCCACTCCTTGGTACGTTGGAACTTCCCCGTCTTCTCGTCGTACCTGGCTATGACATGACCACGGTGATTTCTACGGGATAAACCAAAAGAAACACATTCACCCTTTAGGGTACCCCACGAAATATATCTAAATATCCTATGATTGTAGATCTGATTATCCATGTTCCATGGTTAATCATTCAGATTTAAATCAACCCATGAGTTAAGTATTCATCATCTATGGTAAAATGGGGTGACTTAGTACTTATCACTGGTAAAGGCACTGACGTGGAGGTGAAACCTAAGTTTTGTGGGTACCCCAAGTTATCATCCAAGTCATATTGGTTATCATGTGTTATGATCAATGGGAAAACCAATGGAGGTAAGCCAAAATACCACTGATTTATACAGAAAACATCTGGTAAACTCACAGTTTGCTATTGAACATGACCATAGAAATAGATGATTTCTGTTGATCTACTATGCAATTAAAATGGTGATTTTCCAAAGTTATGTCGTGTTAGTTTACCAGAGGGTATTACTTATGATTGGTGAATGATGGGCGCATCAATGACATCAACCCGCCAACTCCGTTGAAGCTTCATGGTGTGGCGATAACAGTATGTGCAGCATGATCAACCTTTTGTAGGGGTCACATGATCAAGGCTTTTGTCAGGGAAATGGTATCCCAGATGTATCTGGTTGGTGGTATACTATACCTACCCCTATGAAGATTAGAGTCATTAGAGCCTCGTAGAAGTGAAACCTTCTGGTTGGTGGTTGACCTACCCCTCTGAAAAATGATGGAGTGAAAGTCAGTTGGGATGATGAAATTCCCAATATATATGGAAAATAAAAAAAAAGGTTCCAAACCACCAACCAGTGTTGGTACCCTCTGGTAATTTAACATAGCTATGGAAAATCACCATTTTTAATGGGAAAATCCACTATAAATGGCCATTTTCAATAGCTATGTTAAATTACCAGAGGGTAATATATCCCATGGAGCATGAAGACATCTAAATGGACATTGTATGTGATATGGGTACAACGTTGGGCACGGGTCATCCCACAGTGAGACTGGTTACTGGCTTCGTCTACAGAATTGATCATCAAATGGGATCAATTGTGATAAATAGTAATAATAATAATATCAATTACCATCTGGTTATTTAACATAGCCATGGAATATCACCATGTTTAATAGGTAAACCATCTATAAATGGGTCATTTTCCATGGCTATGTTAAATAACCAGAGGGTATGTCATTTTAGAGGGATCAGTTGCAATTTTGTCTCTGCGATTCCTGTATTTTGTCTCCTTCCGGATCTGGGATGCAGACTTGTTCACATTGTCTTCACGCATGAAGACCTGGGCGGTGCCGAGAAGCTATTGGAAGATCCCCAAAAATGCTTTGTTTTGATGGTACCAGGTCAAAAATCATACTCCTCAAGATCTTAGGCAGTATGTTAGCTTGTGCATCTCTCTACAATCAATCTCAGCTAGTGTGCCCCAAGTTTCAACTCACCGTGAGTAGACTATTGTGGTGATCCAGTGAAGCGATCCGCGATCCGCGATCCGGGTGCCACCGGCTTTCTTAATGCCCTCGATGCCCTTCAACGTCATCTCTTTGAGGATGTTGGTCTCCACGTTCCTGGGAAGGTCGACCCTCCCCGTGCCCCGGCGAAGACTTCCAGACACCTTGTGGTTAGTATACTGTTAAGAATGGTTAATATATGGTTATTATATGGTTAATGATGGTTAATTAATAATGTGGTTTTTCGCCCTACCCCTCTGAAAAATGATGGAGTGAAAGTCAGTTGGGATGATTATCCCATATATTATGGAAAATATAACAAGTTGTTTTTTTGGCTCCGGATGCCACAGTGCCGCGCTGGAGACGCAACTACGGCCTACTGTGTGACCAGAGCTACAGCCCCCGCAGCCGTTCCAATGTCTTACCGGAACCAGTGGCTGGAACCCCCGGTTTATGGTGTAAAACACTTTCAACCTGATCAAATAAAACATGTTTGAAACCACCAACCAGTGATGTACCCTCTGGTAATTTAACATAACTATGGAAAATCACCATTTTTAATGGGAAAATCCACTATAAATAGCAATTTTCAATAGCTATGTTAAATTACCAGAGGGTAACATGTCCGAATATTCCAAGTCTTCTGAACTGATCTTTCGACTCTTCAGACTCAGACTGGTCAGACTGATCAGCGGCGGAGTTTTCTGCACCCACCACGGATTCCATACAACATTTAGCAGGTCAAAATAGTCAAAAATCAGTCAACCTGTGGGATCTCAACATGTTCATGTTGAGATATGTTGATGTATCAAGATGTATCAAGCCTCATTTTTTCTGGCGGATTCTATCCCGAGCTTTCCCATCTCCAATCGGCATGTGCTGGTGATGATCTCCCCTCGTTGGTGGTGCGCCAGCTTCGCCAACGGTTTCAACAACGGTGGGACATTGTGACATAGCCTGCATTAACTCTATAGAAATCACTATAGATCTACCCGAAACCATCGGTTTATTGGAGTTTTCTCAACTTCACCAACTTTTGGGGGGCAGCTTGTGCCGCCCTTCCCGCGCCTCAAAAACTTAAAGTTCTTATCCTCCGTGTCGTCGTTGGGGTCATAAGGCCCCGGCACCTAAGGAATCTCTGCGCTTCTGGTGTTTTTCCACGCCAGAAGTAAACACATCATGATCCAAATCTATCTTTAATGTTTGGAGATGGGAAATTCTATATAGTACATTGCATAATATATACTTAGGTTGGTCATTGAAACCCTCTGACAATGAATTCCTCAGAAGAAACGCACCCCGCAGCAGCATTCCTAGTGCCAATTCTGCCGCCTTCCTTTTTGACGAGTGCAAAGGAGACGGCAAGTGGAAAATTAGGCTCCCTCCGTTTGAAGATTAGAGCCTTGTAGAAGTGAAACCTTCTGGTTGGTGGTTTCAACCCCGAAAAATATTAGTCAGTTGGGATGGTTATTCCCAATATATGGAAAAATAAAAAATGTTCCAAACCACCAACCAGCCTTGCTTGTTTTTTGATATGAGCGCTATACTACGCACCAAAAGATCCAGGGAGGCTCTTTCAAGAACACCGTGTGGCCGCGGGTGGCTGTCAGAACATAGTACCACAGAAATGCCCAAATGGCAGGCTGTACTGCATTTTCAGACACACCCCAGTATCATATTAAGTCAACCACATTCCATCTTACGAGTAAATACAATATAATTATACGTATATATATATATACATATATATATATATACACAAAAGAGAAAACATATCCCTACATCCAATCATCACCATCTGTTCTATCCAGTTCTCAACTTTGGAATTCACCCCTCTTGGCTCCCTGGATCTCTCTGCGTTTAGGCCTCGCCGTGTTGCGTCACGGGTTGCGTTGCGAGTCGCTCGTCGCTCGTCATTCCAATCCCCACGCACTGAGGGGAAGAAGGCCACGCTGCAAAGGGTGCCGCAGCGCCGGGACACTGAAATCCGGTTCCTTCGCGGCGAAAACGGCGGAGTCCCGGGCTCGTTTCAAGTGGGGAATGGCGTCGAGATGGGAATGGAGAAAATGTGTTTAATATCCCATGACGGATCCATGGTGCTGGTATATATTATATGCTAACATAAATGGGGTATATGGATGGTTAATGTTGCCATATATACCAGCACCATGGATCCGTCATGGGTATTGAATTGTTACATAGTCAAAATGGCTCTCGTTTTGTACATCGCCAACCCGTGATTTTGAGAAAAAATGAGCGAATCCAAGTGGGTTCTTTCGTAGCTGTGTCCATAGCAACCCTCTCTCTGATAAACAAACAGTTTGCTATTGACAATCAGGAGTTTTTACAGGTATGGTCATGGCACATGGCTTCAGTAGCTATGTCAGCTATTACGGGCAGGACCGACGGTTTGCCGGCAGTGGATTGTTTCCTAAGGGGGCTCACTTCGCTGCGCAAGCACAGTGTTTTATCACCTTGGTACATCTGTGCGTTGGTATGTCCCAAGACCAATTTTTTAGGAAAATCAACAGGAAGAGTGAAGCCTCTGCGGACTTAGGAAGCGTGTGGCCCTTTTTCCCAGTTTTTCACTCTTGCGGCGAGAACGGAGTGTGATTGTTTGAGGGGGGTGGGCGATTGGAAAATCCCTTCATATAAAGTATATACAGCGTGTCCTAAGCTTCCCCGAGGTCCACGGGGTTTGCCCTCCTCTTGGGTTACCCTCTGGTGAACTAACATAGCAATGGAAAATCACCATTTTAATGGGAAAATCCACTATAAATGGCCATTTTCAATTGCTATGTTAGTTCACCAAAGGGTAAATTAATAGAGGGTAGTTTAACGTCAGAGCATATCAACGTGGGAGCTCATTTTGGCTGGCCATACTCCTTTTGAGTGTGATCCCTAAAGGAATCAAACCACATCTATACAAATCCAGTTTTTTGGGAACCATTTTCAGCCATGCCTACATCAATTAGTGGACCGGTTTCATGCGTCTTCATACATCACCCATAAAGTCACATTTCCCTTCCATAGTCTAAGTAGTCTAGTCTAGCAGCGGGAAAATTATCCAACTACTTGTATTCATTTATAGATGAGCTTTCCACAGTTGTCAATCACACATCGGAATGGATGAGTTTTCCACATTCGCTCAAATCAAGAAAATTACATGTATTTCTAGACGTTCCATGTCCTCATTGGAAGCAAATATCAAATATGGTACACCCAGTTTTTTGGTGTCTAGTAGACATAATTCCCCTTATCCACATTGCCACAAATTGAGCTAATTTCACATTGTCAGTTATGCAGTATATCCAATTATATCCCCCTTTAACACCCATGTCCCCAATATATTCCATTAATCCCCAGTAAACAAAGTAAAATAACCCCTGCTTAAACCGATTGTTGGTTTCAATAACCCATCTGAAAGATAATACTCAGTGGGGATAATCATCCAAAAAACGGTAAAACGAAATGAAACTTGCAGTCAGATTAATTAGATCTCCATTGCTGGTTAACTATGGTTAACCGTCATGTTTCACTCAAATTCAACCAGTGTTTTGGTGGATTTGGTTTTGTCTGAAAACAAACCACCCCTAAACCTATTGCTTGATCATCATCTTCCCTGATCTTTCATGGCCCGTTACAGGTAAACCCCATTAGACAAAACCATATCCCATAAATAATTATCTAGAAACTCCATTGTCCAGGTTCATACTTAGATCCCATGAAAAAATCCAATCCCATAAAATGTCATTAAATCCCATTAAAATGCCATGAAATCCCACTAAAATCGATCCCATCTCCGCCTCGAACATCCGTCGGGCACCATCGCCATCATCGCCATCATCGCCGTCGTGACCATCCTCGATGGGACACGTGATGATGGCCGTCTCGATGTTCTTGGCCGCGTGGAGTAGGGCCGACACGAAGCGTATCGACATGTAGGAACCTGGACATCGGAATGTCACGATTTTTTGGGATTGGAGTAGTGGTTTTTATGTGTGTATATATAACATAGTTTCATAATCATTATATATAATGTCCTATCCTGATTAGTGTAGGGCCCCCCCCTAAACAATTCTTTGAGTCTCTTTAATGTAGAAATTTTAATGAACACAAGTCTGAATAGTGTGGACATGAAAAAATGATAGATTTCAATTGATTTATTAACTATACTTTCAGTTGATTTCAATTTACTTTCAATCGATTTTCAATTGGTTTCAATTTACTTTCAATTGATTTTCAATTGGTTTCAATTTACTTTCAATTGATTTTAATTTACTTTCAATTGATTTTAATTTACTTTCAATTGATTTCATATTACTTTCAATTGATTTTAATTTACTTTCAATTGATTTTAATTTACGTTCATTTGATCTTCAATTGATTTCAATTTACTTTCAATTGATGTCAATTTACTTTCAATTGATTTTCAATTTACGTTGAATTGATTTTCAATTGATTTCAATTTACTTTCAATTGACATTCAATTGATTTCAATTTACGTTCAATTGATTTTCAATTGATGTCACCTTATTTTCAATGGGTTTTCATTTGATTTCAATTTAGTTTGAATTTATGTTCAATTGATTTCAACTTACTTTCCATTGACATCCCATAGTAACCCCATAGAAATATCATAGAAATATCATGGAACTGCCATAAGAATCTCACATAAATCCCAAAAGAATCTCATAGAATTCCTTCAGGAATCCCATAGTAATCCCATAGAAATATCATAGAAACATCATGGAACTCCTATAGGAATGCCATAGGAATCCTATAGGAATCCAAAAGAAATCCCATAGAAACATCATAGAAATACCATAGAAATCTCATAGGAACCCAATGGGAGTCCCATAAGAATACCATTGAATTCCCATAGCATCCCTTCAGAAATCCCATAGAAATCCTCTAGAAATATCATGGAAACATCATGGAAATTTCATAGGAGTCCAATGGAAATCCCATAGACATCCTTTTGAAACCCCATAGGAATCCCATAGAAATACCATTGACACCCCATAGAAATCCCATAGTAGTCCCAGAGAAATATCATAGACATATCATGGGAACCCCACAGGAATCCAATAGAAATCCCATAGAACTATCATAGAAACACCAAAGAAATTCCAAAGAAACTTCATGGAAACCCCACAGAATTCCCAAAGAAATACTCTAGAAATATCAGAGAAGTACCATATTAAATCCTTGTTAAATCCCATAGTAATCTCATAGAAATTTCATAGGAACCAAGTAGAAATATGATGGAAATATCATGGAAATCCCATAGGAATCCCACAGAAATCCAATAGAAAGATCATAGGTATAACATGGAAATAGCATAGGAACCACAAAGAAAACCCATAAGAATCTCATAGAATTCCTTCAGGAATCCCATAGTAATCCCATAGAAACATCATAGAAATTCCGTAGAAATCCCATAGGAATCCAATGGAAATCCCATAAGAATACCATAGAATTCCCATAGCATCCCTTCAGAAATCTCATAGAAATCCTCTAGAAATATCATAGAAACATCATGGAAGTTCCATAGGAATGCTTTGGGAATCCCATAGAAATCCAATAGTAGCCCCATAGAAATATCATAGAAATTTAATGGACATCCCATAGGCATCCCTCTGAAATACCAGAGAAATTCCAAAGAACAACCATGGAAATCCCATAGAAATCACACAGAAATCCAATAGAAATCCCATAGTAATCCCAGAGAAATATCATGGAAACCCCAAAAGAAATCCCACTGGAATCCAATGGAAACCCCATAGGCATCCTTTTGAAACCCCATAGGAATCCAATAGAAATACCATCGACACCCCATAGAAATCCCATAGAAATATCATAGAACCACCATAGAAATTCCAAAGAAACTTCATGGACACCCCACAGAATTCCCAAAGAAATATCATAGAACCACCATAAAAATTCCAAAGAAACTTCATGGAAACCCCACAGAATTCCCAAAGAAATATCATAGAACCACCATAAAAATTCCAAAGAAACTTCATGGACACCCCACAGAATTCCCAAAGATATATCATAGAACCACCATAGAAACTCGAAAGAAACTTCATGGACACCCCATAGAATTCCCAAAGAAATATCATAGAACCACCATAAAAAAATCCAAAGAAACTTCATGGAAACCCCGCAGAATTCCCAAAGATATATCATAGAACCACCATAGAAACTCCAAAGAAACTTCATGGAAACCCCACAGAATTCCCAAAGAAATATCATAGAACCACCATAGAAATTCCAAAGAAACTTCATGGAAACCCCACAGAATTCCCAAAGAAATATCATAGAACCACCATAGAAACTCCAAAGAAACTTCATGGAAACTCCACAGAATTCCCAAAGAAATATCATAGAACCACCATAAAAATTCCAAAGAAACTTCATGGACACCCCACAGAATTCCCAAAGAAATCCCATAGAAATACCACAGAAACACCATAGGAATCCAAAGGACATCCCATAGACATCCTTTTGAAACCCCATAGGAATCCCACAGAACTACCATAGACACACCTTGAGAAACACCATAGAATATCATAGAAACACCATAGAAATCACATAGAATTTCCATACAAAAAATTGTCAAAGTCCCATAGAAACGCCATAGAAACCAAGGAGAGGAGGCCAGGAGAATTGAACTAAGTAAGAGACAAAAGCAATAGCAAAGGAAAGGAAAAGGAAAGGAGATAATGATTTTGGGAAAACTATTTCCAAACAAAAACTGGACACAATAGAGGACCACCACAACAAACATACTATTGAGGATCAGGGTTGCTCATGGACTACCCCCTTGAAAAATTGTTTGAGTGCTGTTTTTTATTGGGTTTTAAAAATGCATCCTATATAATTGATCAATTAATTATTGCTGGTGGGTCATAATTAACCTTAAAAAATTGCTTCTTCAGACAACAGTTGGACACAATAGAGGACCACCACAACAAACATATTATTTAGGATCAATATTGCTCATGAAAAAAACTGAAAGAATGAAATAAACATTTCTTCAGACAACAGCTGGACACAATAGAGGACCACCACAACAAACATATTGTTTAGGATCTATATTGCTCATGAAAAGATGAAAACTATTAAATAAACAAATTGAAAAATGAAATATTTGTTTTTAATAAATATAAAAAACAGAAAAAATGAAATAAATTAAACAACAAATTAGACATAGTTTAAAACAATTAAAAAAAAAACACATGAAAAAAACTGAAAAAAGACACCAAAAAAAATGACACAAAAGCGACCCATTAATTTTGAACAAACATGTCATAAAAGCGACCCACCACACTAATCAGGGTAGAACATTATATATATATAGTTTCCATATATACACACACTTATTTATGTATACATATTCCCAGCCACATACTGTATATATAAACATATATCAACTTAAATAGTGATACCCAGTTGATATATATATATATTGTTGACATATTAGTTGATATATGTAATGGTGATATATATATATATATAAATTAAATATGGGGAACCATCCAAAGGACAAGCATTTCAGGCTGATGGATTTCAACTTGACCAAATCCATGGCGAAGCTTCCGCGAAGCTTACACAATGTGGCCCCTCCAGTTATAAGTTAAGGTTTATGTTGGTTCATAACCCCCATGAATACTATTATAATATATAGTTATATATATAGTTATATATATATAGTTATATATATAGTTATATGTAGTTGGAGCCCGACCCATAGACGGCCGTGGTGTTTTAAGCATTTTTTGGCATTTTTTTGTTTTTTGATGGTCTTTCATGTCAACTAGCACACAGACGTCATGCTACGTTATGGTTATCTTGGGGTGGGGTTGGGTGGGGTTGGGTGGGGCAATGACGTTCATGTCAACTTGCACACACACGTCATGCTACGTTATTGTTATGTTCTCTTGCACTTGCACACACACGTCATGCTACGTTATGGTGATCTTGGGGTGGGGTGGGGTGGGGTGGGGCAATGACGTTCATGTCAACTTGTCTGCTACCACACACACGTCATGCTACGTTATGGTTATCTTGGGGTGGGGTTGGGTGGGGTGGGGTGGGGCAATGACGTTCATGTCAACTTGCACACACACGTCATGCTACGTTATTGTTATGTTCTCTTGCACTTGCACACACACGTCATGCTACGTTATGGTTATCTTGGGGTGGGGTTGGGTGGGGTGGGGTGGGGCAATGACGTTCATGTCAACTTGCACACACACGTCATGCACACAGATTATATTCCCAAAAGCTTTCCAAGACGGTTGTATCATGGAGTCAACACAAAAGAACACCCTGAATTGGAAAAGTTTGTCTTGGGTTACTGTTGGCGAAAATCTTTGGGACCATTGACACCTCACCGATTTGTCGAAGAACTTTGCAAGGCCGTCAAAGCAATGAATGAAGCGCTTCTGAGAAGAAGGAAAAAAGTGCTGCATCCCAAAAAAAAACACGAACTTATGTCAAAAAACAAAGTAGTTTTGGAGATTTTCAAAACCCTATTTTTCACGTCAACATGAGAAAAAATGACGTTTCGCTGTAGCGAAAACGACATTTTTGTTGATGAAAAACTCCTAAAACCATACGGCCGTCTATGGGTCGGGAACCATGTAGTTATATATAGTTATATATAGTTGTATAAATAGTTATATATAGTTATATAAATAGTTATATATAGTTATATATAGTTATATATAGTTATATATAGTTATATATAGTTATATATAGTTATATATAGTTATATATAGTTATATATTAAGTATCACAAATCATAGTTCTTTGAGTTATACGTTATAAAATGTTATAAACCAGCTTAGCTATCGTCAACGGGGGCCCCACGTAGGGATGTATCATGGCTGTACAGCAGGTGCCGGAGGCATTGCTATGAACAAGCTGAGGTTGACGTTTGGAGTGTATGGAGGAGAGAAAATTATAAACGGGGGTTTCCATAAATGGTGGTACCCAAATTTATGAACGGTTTATTTCATGTAAAATCCTTCTAAACTGGATGTTTTAGGGCTACCCCCATTTTAGGAAACCTCCAAATATAAATATTGAATGGGCTTATAAAGCAACTTACAACTGGAGGGCCTTACCTTCTACAAGTTCTGTTCCTTTCAAGACGTGAATTATCGGCTGATTCAGTGTCTTCAGCTACTGCTGATGATCTATTTGATGGTGGATGGTCAGAGTTCTGTTTCCAGTGACAGTTGCCAAACTTTGGTCTCTAAGGGTGAAACAGGAAATGGAACAAGTACCATACTTAGTGGTGCCCCAGACTTTTCTAATTTGGTTGAGAAAACTCCAAAAATTCACTATGGTTTACTGGTTGGTGGTTTCAACCCCTCTGAAAAATATTAGTCAGTTGGGATTATTCTTCCCAATATATGGAAAGTCATAAAATTCATGTGCCAAACCACCAATTTCACTATGGTTTATGGTAGGTATATTATACATACTATGATTTATAAACCAACGCACTCACATCCCTGGGGGTGCACCATCCTCCAAACTCCAAGTCGCATAGGACATCATCGAAACATGTGATCTCAATCTTCATCGTGAGCCCAACCGCAGTAACAATTCCTGGGTCAGGAAATCGCTCCAAGACTCCGAGGTTGGCTGACGTTAACAACTTTGAGGCTACCAAAAAAAACATGTTTCTTTGAATGATTGCAATGATCATTGCATTCAGCATGGTGTTTTTCAAACCCCAGTGATGTGAACGTTGGTTATGTTGGTTTATAAACCTGAATACTACAGTTATCTACAGTTACATCTAGCATAAACCATAGAATTCAGCCACTTATAAGGCAATTTGGCTATCTAGGGGGGGGCCAGATAGCATTGTTTTTTTCCCAAGCATTTGAGGCCAACAGCGATTCGATCTTTAAATAGGACAAATACAGGAGTCAATGTAGTGGCCACAAAAAATCGTTATAGTACATCTATGGCTTGACAGCCAACTTGAACAGGGGGGTCAACTATAGGATTGAGTATACAGCGGGAACAAGTACTCCCAACTCTACTGCAAAAAGCACGTGAAAGAACCCGCTAGTCGCATAGAAAAAAGTACCATTACTGGCAATCAGCAGTTTGTGCCGTTCGGTTTTTTCCGAGTACCGAGTTTGCTGGTGACTCAATATGGGTAAGTAACGGCTACCCTCTGGTAATGACTAACATAACTATGGAAAAAATCACCATTGAAATAGTGAATTTTCCCATGAAAAATGCTGGATCTTTCCATAGTTTTTTGTTAACGTTTACCAGAGGCTAACCCAAAGTTTGAGACCTCAAGGCGCTACTTAAACCCTGCCAGCCAGTTTCCCCTGATGGCGTTCGCGATCACTTGGGTGCATACCTGTGTGGAAACGATCGGCTGGGCAAGGCGTCACCATCAAAAAATGTGGAGTTAAGTTACTTCATTTTTGTTCAAAAAACAGTCAAGGAAACAGTTTCAACAGCCATGATTGGGGTTCAAACACTGAAAATGGAACAGCGAAAGAGTGGGGATTCAAACATGTGATGTTTCCTCTATCTGACGTATAGAATGAGTATGCAGTATGGAAGAAGAATTTCCCAATCCCCGGAATTATTTTTCATGGCATTTCATGACCAACAAAAACAGGATGGATATCACCAACAAGAGAAACGGATGTCTACATCATGTAAAACCCATGACAAAATCCCCAGAATGTATAGAATAACCTGTAAAGCTGGCTCAACTTCACCCTGCAGACATCCTAGGTTTAGGGTGGCACCAAGGGCTTGGTCATCGGCGCTCTCATCCTTCAAAGGGGCACCATTTTTTATTAGTCGATTTCAAATTAATGATGTGTGGCAGAATATATGGAATTAATAACATTAAATTCTATGATTTCAATGGTATATTCGATTATTGTTAGCAAACGGATAGAAATCAACCAAAAAAAAAATGATACTTAGCAAGTGATGACATTATCAGGATATACTGGGCAAATTGGTGTAGCTCATGATCATGTCCAAAATGGAATACTGGGTTCGATCGCTATGATCTGCCCCGATATCAGGTATACCCCGCTTGAGCTGGCAATTGATATGTGGTCGCGAAAGGGAAGACTGGAGCATGTAGATGCCCCCAGCTACCACTGGTTGGTGGCTTTAACATGTTTCAACTCATGCAAAGCTTGTCCTGAAAATGGTGACAATCAAATGAGTGAATTAAACCTTCTGAGCGTGGTACTGATCTACTATCAATTTTGTCATAAACCCATTGTTCTTATAAGTTAAATTAAGTTTACTTCTCTTGTCCCAGTTGTAAACTGGTGTTTAAACCCATTGTTATAAAGTTATATCCTCCATAGACCCTAGGGGGCATCACCTTGTACGGGATTTAACATGTCTCAAACTTGATCTCCCTTGTTCATCTCAAATGTGTTCAAAAAAACAAAATCAATTTCCACCCAGCAGCCCGAAAAAACGGCATTATGAACCTCCCAGTCAAAAGTATTCAAATAGAAATCCGAATCAAATTCGCTACCCCCAAAACCGGATTAATACATATATTTATATATTATCATGTATTGTATTATCACATATTATCATATATCATCATTTTATCATATTTTATCATATATCATCATATATATATATATATTATATACAGTAATGATATATTATCATTTCATACCAAACATTCCCACTTCGTGGTTTACCTGCATGTTCACCATTTTCATCCCTTTTCCCTATCCCCCCCCTTGCGCCATCAAGATACTGCTCGGACATTCCCACAAGCGAACACTGTACTTGCCAGAGTACTGGTAATCGATAAGCATTTCCCAATGATTCCTTTGACCCACAGAGAGACCCCACAGAAATGCACCAGAAATGGATGCAGAATTGGGAAGCCATGGCTGCCAGTTTGCGGCAAACTATGGCAGTTTGCGAACTGGAAAAACCAGACTTTTTTCATAGGTAAATCATGGTAAATCAACTATGGCCATCTTCAATAGCTTTGTTAAACTACCAGAGGGTATCATTGGTATAGTGTTCACCTTTTTTTCCCAGGGCTCAGCAGGGAAATGAAGTTAAGAAACACTGGCTGAGTATTGTACATCATTAAAGACAAATACGACCTACACACATATAATTACCCATAGAAGCATCACTTGAGCCTGTCTGGCCATGAACAAGCATGAAACAAGACATCATATTAGAACCCATGTAAAACAATCATGAGACAAACATGAAACAAATATACTTCAACCAATCAAACATCCAAACATTTACTATATTATTTGATATATATATATATATCATTAAAAACATCCCCGTTGTGAACCACAAGTTTTTTTTCCGTGCTTCCAATGACATAGTTCGCGCAAATGGTCGACACCTCATTGGGTTGGGCGCAGTACTGAGTGCTCCAGGTGATCAACTTGGCCATGGCAGTCACCTGCGACGATCGAATACGGAGAGGAGCTGCGATGCAGCCGATGCTGGGAGATTTATTAGTGATGACTATTAAGGGACTATTAATCTGGGTAAACTATAATATTTCACTAACCTGAAATAAGGCCATTTGGGGATGATTTCCCTTATTAACCATGATTTCCAGTGAGGTCGCAGTGAGGTCGTTATAATTTACCCAGGTTAATGGTTCTCCATATGCCATAGTCAATCCAATTTTTATTCAACAATCCATTTATCAATCCAATAGATGGATGACTATGAAGGGACTATTGAGATGGTTGGAGATGGATTATTGTTCTATATTTTTCCATATGACTATAGATGACTATTTGGCAACAATCCAATAGATGGATGACTATATGACTATTGGGACGACTATTGGGCAATCCATTATCAATGGTTCTCAAAAAAAAAGGCATTCTAGATTGGGATTTGCCAGGTGATGTCAGCACACTTCTGGATTGATCTGAAGGACATGTATATAGGACAACGGGCTTCTTAAACTCAAAAAATCTGGACTTCATTCAGTCTGGGATAATTATATAATATATATATACATATTAAGGTCATCACCAATGCACCAAAGCTTGATGACGGAAAACGAGCTGATCGTTTCTGGTGAACAGATCCAGATCTTCCCAAAAATGAAGACCCAACCATGGATGTTAGGAAAGATCTGTGCGAAATGCATCACTGGTTGGTGGTTTTTCGCCCTAGCCCTCTGAAAAATGATGGAGTTCGTCAGTTGGGATGATGAAATTCCCTATGGAAAAATAAAAAATGTTCCAAACCACCAACCAGATCAACATACCCTAGCCTATGGATCCAAGATGATCCAGTCGTACCTTCTTAGGAAGTGGGACCGGGGTATGATTTGGAGGGTGATTTGTACCTTCTCAGACAGTGTTTGGATCCACAGGGCTAAATTCTGAAAGGCAGGAGATTGTGAAAGCGCAGGCGTCAAAGAAACACTGCTGGTCGGGTTTGGGATTTAGATTTATATGGGAACAGGATGGCACGGTGGGATTTTAATATTGTTGGTATCAAAACAGTTATCAAAACAAGAAACAAACATAAACAAACTAGATGCTGGATGCAACACTCCACAACAGACTCAGTCATGGCGTGGCTCCCGTTTTTTCAATGTCCCTCCAAAACTCCACAAGAATCCGCCAGTTTGGAACCGTTGATCTATTGTGCCAACCACACACGTATACAATGAAAAACAGTATACCCTCTGGTAAACTAACATAGCTATTGAAAATTGCCATAGAAATAGTGGATTTACCCATTAATAGCATGGTGGATCTTTCCATAGCTATGTTAGTCTTTACCAGAGGGTACTAATCGTTTCTCAGCGCATCTCTGTGTATCGCCCAGACACTAAATAGATCAGTGTGCTGAGATCCGTGGTACACGCAGGTGGATTCGGGACCACCGGCAGCGGCGCCACCGTCGGCAAGCCCGGCACGGGCGGCACGGTGGGCACCGGCGGCGCTCCCACGGGATAGCCCAGTTCCGCCAAGGGCGGGGGGGCGGGTGGGATGGGTGCCGCACCGAGCATCGTGTTCAGGATCTTCGAGGCATTCGTCTCGTTGGCACCCAACGCAGGATTGAAGACACTAACCTCAGGTGGAACGGTCCATAGGTGAGTTTTTTTTTTGAGGCACCAAACATCTGGGTCATTCATCATCACAGTTTTTATATCTTGTTATTATCATATCTGAAACCACTAGTAATATATATATATTACCAATTTCCGTGAGGAGATTCCAGAGGCCCAGAATTTGTTGCTATTTTCTCCAGGTCTCAAGGACAAAGGCCGCCTTAGCCTTTCAAGGCTACTTACCAGAAGGCCATTCCGGGAATTGATGAGCCAAAGCCAAACCGAATCGTGTCCAGCACATGGTGTCACACAAGGATGATGTCCACCACGGTTGATGGATATAACATGACATAACACGATATAACGAACTACGGTAGTATTCATGGCTTTACAATGCTTTATACACCAACAAACATCACGTTTGGAGGGGTCTCACCTCGCAGTATTTTGGCAAGCGCTTGGTGCAAGCGGCTAGTAGAAGCCATTGCAGCCTTCGTGGGAAAGCAAGATGAAACTGCATGTCACATGCGCGGGCCCCTCCAGTGGTAGCGCAATGCCGCAAACGTCTTGCAGGAAGTGCACGAATTTGTCACGCTGGCTTAGCTGCGACGCACTTCCATTGCCATTTTTTGGCAGCTTGAGCTATGCAACTGCCTGCCGAAGTTCAAGATGTTCAAGAATATAATTCTTCAGTCCCTCGAGTCGTCAGCTAAAACACGTTGGAATTCAAAGAAGATCAGAAAGGTGTGTTGGAACGGAACCATGTCAACCATGTCTTGATGATATTTCCGGACACACAGGATGGTGCCCCCCCAGTTATAAATGTTATAAGTTGGCTTATAAACCATAGAGTATTACCATACACCAAGTGAAATTTAGGAGTTTTCTCAACCAACTTCGCAAACGAACTGGGGCACCACCTTGCATCCGGTGAAAATTCAAGGCTCCCAACCGATCCAGTTTAGCCACTCCCAGTTGCCATTATCATTTCGGGATGTTGTCGACGGTTGAACGGATATTCGGTTGATATTCATGGTGATATTAGGTATAGTCTTTCTTATTCGATTTGCCACATTAAAATACATGGGGTTGTCTCAAAATGAGGTGTCCTTTTTTCCCCTCAAAGTAACCTGTTTGGAATCAAAAAAGCACACCTCATTTTGAGACATATTATACATATATATTATACATTAATAACATGAAACACTCCTGAAGTAATTTGACATGCCATTACCATTGGCGCATGTGCCAAGCACCATGGCCACTCTAAGCTGCCAGACAGCGCCTACCTGGTCCGGTTCCTCGATGGAGGGACATGATGGAGAGAAATTCTCAGTCATGGGGGGTATCATGATATCATTCATAGTACCCTCTGGTAATTTAACATAGCTATTGAAAATGACCATTTACAGTGGATTTACCCATTGAAAATGGTGATTTTCCATAGTTATGTTAGTTTACCAGAGGGTATCAATGGCCATTCCAGGCACCAATTCATTGGAGGTACCTACCATTAATATAAGGCCTATTTTTCAGGCCTATGTAAGTGAATATCACCACAAAATATGGCCAGAAATATGGTACACTACCTCCATTTTAGGATCCTGGAATTCCCAGTGATGATATCATTCATAGTATGACATGGGGATAACATGGGAACATCATACTGTGGATGGTTGCGAAATCCTGCACCAGTTGATAGGTGGTAAACATCCCATTATTTATAGGGTTTCAACAATCCATGGTGGTGCAGGATTTCTTCCATCCACAGTATCATTCACAGTATGACATGGGGAATAACATGGGACCATCATATTTCGATATATTTCGGATTCTTCACACAGATCTTCCTCCAGAGGATCGTCTTCCTTTTCTATTTCAGGCCTCACTTGAAGGGGAACAAAAAGATAGCGGAGACCAAAGTCTCGACTTGCCCAAGTCGAGACTTGTCATGGCTGAGTTTTCTAGCATGGTCTGACGGTCTTGCATAATGTTTTTCATGGGTTCTGCAATCATCTGGGTAAATTATGATATTTCACTAACCTGAATTAAGGCCCATTTGGGGATGATTCCTCTTATAAACCATGATTCCAGGCTTAGGTCGCAGTGAGGTCGTGATCAAATTTACCCAGATCTATGATCAACCATTCTTAACTATCATGAACCAATATTAACATATATTAACCATCTATAATCTCTTCATTGAATAACCATCTATGAAGGTTGATAAGTACGATGGCAACTTCCCCTCCGAGCGTCCTTCAACAATCGAATCCGCAGCACCAATTCCTCTGCGTTGTCGTCAGTGAAGATACCTCAATGCCGCAGAAACACTGCGGAAGTTGATTTCAATAGGGGCTTTTCGAAAGTAGGGGATAGCTATGATAGCCCCAAATCATCCAAAATTAGACATTCAAGCTTAATCAATTTTAGTATTGAAACCTATGGTTTTGGGGATCCACCATTTCAAGAAACCCCCATTTGATTGACAAAACAATGTATATATAATTATATATATATATAAATGAATTCGACCAAAACTTCCAAAGTGCCAAAGAGAAATCAATACATCACCGTATACTATTCACCAGCCAGGTTTTTTTCTGTTTCCGGCATTTTTTTGGCCACAGTTTCAGTTACCTAAAGACGGGGAAGTTGTTTCACCAACAACCACAATGCCGAGGAGAAGGATGCCTCTCAAGCATGCCGTTGAAAGATCATCGGAGATAATTTCACAGGATGTCCCAACTGACCACACCCTCTGGTTGCTCCGAATTGGTATCCCTCTGGTCATTTTTCAGAGTTTTAAGCGAAAATCCCAAAAGTTGATATCATGGAACTGGGGCTATGAATGGCCCCTATGGCTTCCATTGCCATCATTTCTAGATGCTTTTGCCCAGCTACAAAGCATTCAACACCGTTCAACACCTCCATTTATAGGCGATGTCCCATTGCCGTGTTTGATGACACAAAAGGTAACTGCTCCCAAAATAGAAATGCCTGAATCGTCCATCACACAAAGCCTACCGGGCGACAGTCCAAGTCGTTCATGAAGTCGTTTAAGATGCGTTCACCCACCTCAGAATGTCAAGGAATGGCTGGCATAAAGTGGGGACTGCAGCACTGCACCAGTAAAATTGAGGGGCTTCGATGATGACAGCCAATTCAACCAGCAAAAGTTGGCATAACAAACCAACAAAAACGGGGAGCCATGAGAGTTTCAAAGGGGAACCACAAGGGAAACAGGAACCATCTTCTTGCTGGAAACGTGGCCAACCATGTCAGTGATCAAGACATGGAAATCCATGGCTTTCCTATGGGACATGATCTATATGGCAAATGTTGGATACCTATTAGTTTACTGCTCCCCGAAAACAATGCGAAGTAAAATTCCTAAATAAAATGGTGAGTACGGTATTTACATTGGTATTCCCAAAAAAACAATTGGTATACATTTTGGTGAGTTCAAGAAAAACACATCTGGTTGGTGGTTTCAACCCCTCTGAAAAATACTAGTCAGTTGGGATTATTCTTCCATATATGGTGGAAAATAAAATTCATGTTCCAAACCACCAGCCAGACATCCTATTTTAGTGTTACCCTCTGGTGAACTAACATAGCAATGGAAAATCCCCATTTTTAATGGGAAAATCCACTATAAATGGCCATTTTCCATTGCTATGTTAGTTCACCAGAGGGTACCCCAAATCGAATTATCCCAAGAAAACCGACATCCCAAGTTCTCCCCAAACCTCTCGCACCGTGAGCTTCTTGTCCGTCATGACCTGTGCATCACCGGGGCCTCATACCCCCTAGGTAGCCAAGATACATGCTATAACAATAGGTAGGGTTTGGGGTAGATATATCTGTACTTAATGGATCTTAATGGCTTTATAGAACTATATCACATGTCAAAAAACATCACATACATAACTTGGGGGGAACCAGCAATTTCCACAACTATTCACGTGGAGTGGAGGTTTGATGGATCTCCGTGTATCAACGTGCATGATAAGGTGTAGATCTTGTTGAAGTGGTCAATGACTCAACCAAACTATCGAGCGTAACTAAACTCTTAGTCACTATAGGCTTTGGAACACTTTTTGGGACGAGATGACCTAGGAACAGGTCCTGTTGTGAGCAAACTTCCTTCGGGTAACCTCTACTGGTATGATCAAGTGTATAGCAACCCAAAAAGGGATAGAACATGATAGAAAATGATAGAACAGTACGGTAAACTCATTTCAAAAATAGTGTACAGATCATCACAATTACCCTCTGGTAAACAAACATAGCTATTGAAAATGGCCATTTATAGTTGCTTTACCTATTAAAAAAATGTGATTTTCCATAGTTATGTTAGTTTACCAGAGGGTACTTTTGAATCGGACTTTACCGTAATTATTTTTTCCATCTTCTTGGACATTCTTGGGGACTTTAGATATGGCCATCCAAACCGACCAACGTAAAGCGCTTTTGCGCCACCTTGTTGCTCAGCTGGATGCGTAAGAGCCTGGAAACGGACCCAGTTTCGACGTAAGTCGACTGGGTAAACGGTGGTAACAATTGATAACTGCTGGTTACTGTATGAATATTACATCTGCTTATCATATGATGATCATATATATATATATATATTGTATCTTGGATTTCCCAGTGGACTTCCCAAAAAATACATGATAATCATAAAGTGATTATCATTTTTATCCAGATATATCCAGTATTTTTTGGGATTTGCTTAAGGAATCACTGGAAAATCCCAAGCCAGAAGCTCCATAAAATCTTCGCCTTATGGGGCGAATCTAAGAATCCCATTTGGAACAACGAAGCAATAATATATATATATATATATATTGCGGAATGCAAGGTAGCACAAACAGCAACGAAAGATGCTATGGCTTCCTACACACCCTAAACCAAGCGGTTTCACTGCAATTCCTGTTTTGACCAAGCCAGTGAAGGCTCAAGGCCTATTGATCCCAAAGAGCGGCAGCAGGCCACAACATCCAAGAATGTACCTGGCAAATGGAAATGGGCCATGGGAAATTCACACGCCCTCTTGTGGACTTATTGCTGCTGCAAACTTATATTCACAGCTGATTCTCAGCTTTCATGCAACTAGCGCGAACGTTGGAAGCGTCCAGTTCCCTTGTTGCCATCAGTCTCAAGCCATTTGATGCGAAGGAGGAATCTGGCAAAGTCAGTGGCCTGGGTATCACAAGGTGTGTCAACATCCTTGCCATAGGTCTTCACCAACCATTGGAGATATCCTTTGGCTTCAGCGTTGTGCAGTGCTTCGGCAACCAACGTAGAATAGCGATATCCCTGATTCTCATACTTCTTCATAACGATCACGGTCTTCGACCAATCATCCACATCAACACAATCCACTGGCAGAGAAATCTTGACATTCTGACGGGTATGGACATCCCTGATCACTTGGCTGATGGTGGTCACATTGGGCTCAACCACGGTAGGCGTAGGAGTTGTGACAGCATCATAGCCACTCGGCAAAGAATTCTCACCACGGCCAACCACACTCCACACAGTTGAACGTGGGCTTTCACCATGGGAACTCTCGATCTCATCCCGAACACGCTTGGCGGCTTCGGACATACCACCAGGCACATCAAAACCTGGGATGTAGTTCTTCAGCCACTGACATGACTGGGGATCTTCGGCAGCTGTACGCTCAAAGATGGGGCGAGCTTGGTTGTTGGCAATCGCCCGAGTGAGCAAACCAACGGTCATCGAAATCTCAACCTCATTCAACCTTGGCGTCTCTGCGGCTTTCTTGGAGATCTTGCGAGGCATCTGGGACATGGCTCTCAGAAATCACGCTAACGGCGTTTGGATCAAAAACTGTACACACTCAGCAGGCTACTCGGTTCAGCTACCTGGCAAATCTCTAAGTGATAAAGCAACGGAAAAACGGCATATCTGGATGGCTCTCAGTATCTTCACACTGAGACGCATGCAGTTCTGTACACGAAAAACTCTTTCAGCATATGACTTTGTCAGGCTTACTTATGGCTATGCAAAAGGTTGCTTCTCACGGCTGTTTACCTTGACTGACCTGTTCGGCTCGCTTGTCGCTGGCTTTCTCTTTACTCCCGGACTCCTTACAAACTTTGATCTGATATTTTCCACTCTCCATCAAGTCAAAGAAAGGTTTACTGTCGCTATTGAGTTTTGTGAGAATGTCAGCGGCCATGTACTTATTGTTTATCCAGTATATTTCTATATTTTGACGCAACATGGAGTCTCTGGCAATGGCATGTTCTAGTTCTAACTTTTTCTCTTGACTGGTGGATGCACTGCTCAGTTTACTGGAAGCATCATAGAAACCTCTGGAATCCACAACAAGCAAGGCTGGGTGTTTCGGCCTTTGTTTTCGGAATTCTCTGGGTGAGATTCCATACACTGTTTCTGCAAGAAGACCTTGAAAGAACTCTATGGCGTCTAAGGCATTGTTTCCAGCATGTGTTTCTGCGGCTGTTGAGGAACGGACCACACGCTGCAACTTTTTGCTTGCCCAATCCACCAACCACATCGGTGCGGTTTTCCGATCTCTCATCAAGGTATTGGTGAGTCCCAAGAGGTAACCACCCTGCGAATCCCCATTGGCTCTCCTTGCATGGCCGGCATCGGATATACACACTATTCGCCATTGTTCTATGGGAACATTTGAGGGAAACTTCATTACAACTTTTCTTTCTTTCATCTCTCTCAGTGCTTTGTTGTAAAGTTCAACATGGCTTACAGTGGCTTTATCCTGGATACCTTGCAAATAAGAGGCTAAGAATGCTTTGTCAGGACGTGTTGAACCTGCGGCCCATGCCAGCTGTCCAGCACACCTTCGCAGCAAAGAAGGATCACGCACAGGGGTTCCTGAAGACCCAAGGCTCTTGGTTGAGACAGGCTCCAAGGAATCGATGTATGTTTCCTGATTGATCTCAATGGCAAATGTATTGGGGTTCTGACGGATCTCTATTCCAGTGTAACGGATTGTATATGTTCTAAAATCACCAAAGGGAAGGCACTTCCTTAGTTTTTCAAGAACAGCATCCATTTCTGGGGTTCCTCCACCTAGAAGGTCGTCAACATGAACACCACAAACACCAACCAGTTCGTTTTTGGAATTTCTCAGGGAAAACAAACAGCGGTCCAATTGGGAAACCTTTAGACCTTGTTGGGCTAACTCTCGGCTCAACCTAAGAAACCAGGCCCGTGGGGCTTCTGCTAGCCCGTAGGCTGCTTTCTCCAAGCGAAACAGGTCCTCGTCGGTGAGGTCCATCCATCTTTTTATTTCAGGGGGCGGTCTGAAGTACAACTGTCTCTCAGAAGGGTCTCCGCTCAGGAATGCGGTTTTGATATCTGCTCCCCAAATTCGCCATTTCTTTGCGGCACAAATTGAAAGAATCAGATTTTTGGACTCCTTTTTGAGGGTTGGACTATCTGTCGCTATTTTTCCTAGTTCAGGATCTTGCCATCCCACTAGTACTAGTCTAGCTTTGGGGGTTTTTGACCTATCATCTGGGTCTGATGATTTTTTCCATACTAAAACCCATCGCGCCCTGATCACCCGTTCTCTGGGAATTCCCCGGGATTTACAGATGGAGGTTACTTTGTTATCTATCCATGACTGCCACTCCTTTTTCATTGCAACCTCAAACCTTTGCTTATCCTCCTCACTCAATTTCCGGAAACTGACCTCAACCCGGCGTTGTTTCGCTGGCTGCTGCACGACGAAGCAATCTTCAATCACTTCCCACAAGCACAACTGTTGTTCAGTGATGTCCTCTGGGCGGACTTCTATAGATACTTCCATGACATCATGCTTACCAGGAACCGGATTATTTTCTTCATGTTCTACAATCAGTTCATCACCATCATCCATTGGCACCGGAACTTCATGAGGCTGTACATCTCTGGGTTCGGGTTCTGCAGGTGGCATTGGATCATTGACTGCGGTTTCATCTTCGGAAGTGATCGGAGGTTGTGATTCAGGAGTTTCAGGCAAAGCTTCTGACTGTACACCAGATTGCGCATCTTGACCGATCTCTACATCATCAAGGCTGGGTCTTGGCGATTTGGCAGGCGAAGTTGGCTCGTATGAGTATTTTTCAACATCATCGGTTACAGTAACTTGCCTTTTTCTATCTGGTTCTACATTATCATCATCATCGGGTTCTAAAGACCTACTGGATTTTAGGCGGACTACTTGGGGAAGGTCTACATCATCATGTAGTGGCCCTAGTGGCGGTGCGCCCTCTGCCCTTCTTCTCCAATAGTCATCTGACCTGTAGAACCTACGCCTGATCTTTTTGGGACCTTGTTCAAGCTGTGAGTCTTCTACATTCGGCTCTTCCCACAAATCATCCTCAAGTTCATGATCTTCTTCTATGGGTTTGTGTTCTTCTGAAAGATCTTCAAACTGACCTGATTTGGAGGAAACATTTTGTTCAGCTTGCTCCAGCTCGGGATGCAGACGTCCTTCCGACAAAGAACGGGCAAGGCTGCGGAATTCAGCTTCGTCCTCTGGCACTGGTCGAAGTCCCTCTGGGCTGCACCTGTATAAGTAACCATTATGGCTTACCCAAACAAGTCTAGGAACTGGACCCCCGCTTTCGCTTTCTATCCCCACTACTCTACCCGGACCTATCCAAACTCCATGACGTGTTGACAAAAGACCTCTGGCTCTGCGACGGAAGACATAAACCAATTGACCAACTTGGTATGGACCCCTGATGGGTCTTGCTCTGCCGGCGACAGCTCGGCG